CCCCCCAAAGGGCGTGCCCCCTGCCTCTCCCCGCCAAAAGTGCCCCTGCGCCCTGTCAGCACCCCCTCCCGGGGGGCTGGATGTGTGCCACAGCACAGGCCAGTGCACCCAGCCTCACCCACCCCAGCGCTCCTGCGCCCCAGAGAGGCTGGGGAGGGTGCTGGGCTGCGAAGCCTGGGCCGGGTTGGCACTGATGGCTCTTTTCCTGTGCGGGACCCATAGCGTGCTCGTGCTTTAGATGCTGAAAGGGCAGGTGGGCTGTGGGGCAGAAGAGGTCACCCCGGCTGCTCCGGTGCCAGAGCTGAGGCTGAATGTCAGGGCTGGGGTGAGGCTCTGCCTCCCCGCCAAGCAGCCACCCACCTGCATACGGGGATCGTCCCCAGGCAAGGCTTGACCAGCCCCTTTCATTTCTCCTCCTTTTTTCCTCCTTTTTCTCCTCCTAATTCTACCTCTCTCTGTCAAAAGCTTTGGTGGTGCTTTGTACCAAAGAGGCCGCAGGCTCTGCAGAGGTGCGGGTCACAGACCTCTGCAGGAGCAGACAGGACAGAAGCCAGATAGGAATAAATAAAAGAGTTACTATTCACGTTAAAACACATTTGGGTCGGGCTGCACTGTTCCATGGGCCCTGAGGTGGGGGGCGCAGCTTGGGGGGCAGGCAGGCCCATGGCAGCATTCTCCTGTCCCCATCCTGGGCAGGGCAGCAGCACTTCCAAAATGCGATCGGCTGGGATAGAGTTAATTTTCTTCACAGTAGCTGGTATGGGGCTGTGTTTTGGATCTGTGCAGGAAACAGTGTTGATAATACAGGGATGTTTTTGTAATTGCTGAGCAGTGCTTACACAGAGTCAAGGCCTTTTCTGCTTCTCACCCCACCCCACCGGCGAGGAGGCTCACAAGAGGTTGGGAGGGGACACAGCTGGGACAGCTGACCCCAACTGACCAAAGGGATATTCCATACTATATGATGCCATGTTCAGCTTATAGAGCTGGGGAAGAAGGAAGGGGGGCATGTTTGGAGTGATGGTGTTTGTCTTCCGAAGTAAGCATTACATGTGATGGAGCCCTGCTGTCCTGGGGATGGCTGAGCACCTGCCTGCCAATGGGGAGTGGTGAAGGGATTCCGTGTTTTGCTCTGCTGGCGTGCGCGGCTTTTGCTTTACCTATTAAACTGTCTTTGTCTCAACTCATGAGTTTTCTCACTTCTACTCTTCTGATTCTCTCCCCCGTCCCACCGGGAGGAGTCAGTGAGCGGCTGCGTGGGGCTTAGCTGCTGGCTGGGGTTAAACCAGGACAGCTGCTGGGCCCGGCTGCACCATGCGCTCCAGCACTGCTGCTGGGGCCCATCCTGCCCGGATGCCCACCCTGGGCTGCGGTGCACAGCCCTGCTCCTAAAAAATGAGGGCAGGGTCCCAAGTGCTTTGTCCCTTGCCTGTCAGGGACAAGAAGATCAAACGCTGCCAGCTCCTCAGGATGTGGCACAGGACCTCTCCTGGGCCCGTTGTTCTGGAGAGCGTATGGACACATGCCAGCGGCACGGCACAACGCTGCTTGACGGCTCGCACTGGAGTCCCGGGGGTGGCGGGTGGGTCAGACAATGTGGCCACCTTCGCTCAGCCACCTGGGCCGGTATGTGGCACAGCCCGGCGTGCCCTCGGGCCCCCACGGGGCACCAGGGATGTCACCCAGCTTGGCGTGAATGAGGCCTTGCAACTCCTGGTCTCCCAGCTCCGTCGCTGCGGCGAGGGCCAGGAGGAAGTAGGCTGCTGCATCCTGTTCATCCTAACCGTAAAGGACAGGGTACGCGTTAGGAAGTGGTTTAATTGAAGGTCACAGGGTATAAGGGAGCTGGAGCAGAGCCCAGTGGTTCCAGGCAGAACCCAGTGACTCCTGACCTCATTGAAATGGGCTCTATATAGTTGCAGCTAAGTGCCAGCACTTCTTTCCAAATTACCTTTCCCCCTTCAAAACCTGGTTGTGCCAACATTGTGCACATTTATTCTAATGCTGCAGGTAGGATGGAGAGTCACAGGATGCAGCTGTGTATGTGTGGCTGCTCTGCCAGCAGATGTGATACTCCACCTCCCGCTCTCCATCGAGACCAGAGGGCTCAACACAGCATCATGGAAAGAGGTTTCCTACCTTCAGTTTGTGCAGGGTCAGGTTGCCAAGGTGGCAATACACCTTGGAGTAATACAGGGCCTCTCCAGAGCACTGCAGCAAGGGGGGACGCAAGGCAAGAGTCTTCAGGTAGCAATCTTCTGCCATCTCATACATATGCAGAAAATAGTAGACTGTAGCCAGGCGGTGGAATGCAACCAGCTCTTGTAATTGGTCTCCTGGAAAAGAGTTGCTGGTGCAGTCAGCCCACAGCACGCTCGCAACACATGCCCAGCCCAGCAAGCTGAGCCACTCAGGGATGCATTTGCTCAACAGTCTGGGGGTGCGGATGTCTTCATAAGGAGATACTGGGTTTGAAGATGATGCAGAGAAAAGAGAGCCATGGGTGCTGATACCAAGGCTGGACAGATTGCCCGGGGAGTATATCATTCAACCAGGGGATTTTTTGGGTGCTGGAAAGGGCTATTACAAGACCAGCTCCATCTCAGACATTTATGCTGGCATTTGGCCTATTCAAACTATTTCTGTAATGGGAAGGGATGAGTTTATCAGAAGAGCCAGGGCAGGGAGGAACTGTTCAGTCCTTTGCCTTCACCAGATTTCCCGTGTTCTGGTGTAGCAAGAACCCTCCACTCAGCCGGTCCCACCAGCACCACGGCAGAGCTCTCCCATGTGGCTGTCGTGCAGCCTAAAAGGGGAAATGGCCTTAAAAAGATGTTACCCCTTAGGATAAGAAAAGGTCCAGAGGTCTTATGAAAGCAGGAGATTCCCCTTTCACATGCACACTGTTCTTACTCAGAAAGGCAACCGCCTCCACAGGAGCCGGTAGCTCCCATTCCCTGCCCGTGTGCATCACTCACCAACCCTGATGCTCAGCCTGGCTGCCAGCGTGGCAAACTCCAGCGCCTTCTCGTAGCCCTGCAGCCCAATCTGCAGCTCTGCCAGCTTATTGAACAGCCGTAGCTCTGTCTTAATGGCCTTCAGTTTCCTGGCCAAGGGCACAGCACCTCCCTGAGGAGAGAGAACAGCAAATCCAGGCTGTTCCTGGAGGTACTGGTACAACAGTGCCCAAATAAGGGTGATAGAGCAGCCAGAGATGGACCAAGTTTTTGGCATGGCAGGCAGATGATGGAGTGGTTGAGTGCTGCAAGTTCAGGTTCTAGCCCCTTCTTTCCCTTGAAAATGAGTTTCATATCCCAGAGCATAGTTCTCAAAACCTGAGCCTCATGTCTCTGCCCTTCCCTATGTGCCTGAAGTTCTGACTCTGAGCATGTCTCCAGGAGAGACCAGCTCACACCTAACGCTGCCAGGATTTGTAATGTCAGGACCCTGTTCCCACCTCCCAGACGGTCTCTGGGGTGAGCTGCAGCCATTGCAAAATAGGTCTGTGCTCCAGGCTTTCCCCCCGCAGCAATGTTTGTACTCTGGCACACTCAGAACCACCCCATCCCTCTCCACGCTCCACCCCTCCAGTCTGGCCATGCAGTGCTGCAACCAGCCCTGGGGCAAAGCTCCCCACAGCATCGCCTTGCAGGGACACAAAGACAGAAACGCTCGGAGGGATCAGTACCCTATAAAACTCCACCGCTCGATCTCTGTTTCGGCTGCCATTAAAAAAGGTATCACCTGCTTTTTCATAAAGATCCATTGCCAAGGAAAAGTTCTCGGACTTCAGAGCAGTCTGAATGGCTGCCTAGAAGGAAAAGGAACTAGAGTGAGGCTTGGAAACAGACATTTGCACTTAGACATTGGTGTGATTAAATAAAACCAAGTCATCGTAAACGTGAGCCACAATGCTGCAAACAGCACAACGCAGGTTGGCCAGTGGGTGTATGGGACTGCTGTGCTGCATTTGCAAGCGATGTGTGCAAGGGTGGAGCCAGGAACCAGATAACCCATCCCTGTGCGGGGTCAGTGTGCCAGACTGGTCAGCTGGGATATCCAATGGGATCAGGATTCAGAGTCAGGACAGTGCAGCCAGCAGCTGTCCCAGCCCTGGTCTGTCATCGGTGTGATGGAGCCAACGTGGAGATTGACAAGGGGGACAGACAGCTTATATAGAGAAAGGCCAGAGCCAGCGGGAGGCAGGGCAGGTATGCTAACTTCTGGGAAGAAGAGTTATTTGTGCCAATTATGCACTTGGCCCTGGTGCCACCTTCCAGCCAGAACATGTTGTTCCTTACACCATTACAGTTTATCATTGCTAGTGACCTTGCCTGGGAGGGGGCCCCTCAGGGACTTAGACATGCCCTGCTAAGATCTGGTGTCAACTGGCCCTTCTTAATGGGACGTCATCCCTCCTTTAGCCCCTGCATCCCTGCTGAAACCATGAGCCAGGGAGGCAATGACAGCTCTTTGTTATGGGCCTCAGATCTCCCTTGTGAACACTAGGAAACAAGCTGATGCCAAAGCCACCTATTCATTTCACCCAGGTCACTGAGCAGCCACCCAGTACCCGTAACTCCCTGCCTTTACCACCTGATTTAGGGGCAGGCTGGTGGGACCTCAGTCACCCAGCCCCACCAGTTCAGAAGTGCTTCTGGGGTAACTGAGTGAGGACCTACATGTGTGCAGGCTGGTGCTGCCCCAGCTCAGTGCAATCCCAACAGACCCAACCAGCCTTCTGCTCTGCTAACTCTGGGCACATGAAAGGATTTCGCATCTTTTAATAGAAGCTGCTCCCTGAATGAGGGAGCCCTAAGATTTTATGAGCTGCTCTTCCTCTTTGCAGCTCAGCTGATATAATAATGCTAGATATGGAAAGAAGCCAGTAGTCTTCTACTCCAAGAAGTCTCAAAGCATTTCCCTGGCACCTTAGTCCTTATCTATGTGTATTTCAATAGGAACCAGTCACCTGCCACCTCCAGCTTGCTTTGGCACCCCTACATCACTTTCTTACTCAATAAATTCACTTACTTTCACACAAGAATCCTCTAAACCCAGTGTGTGGGAGGAAAGATAGGAAATTTAGTGCCAGATAGTTCATGAGTATAAGGCAACAGCTCCTCCTTCCAGCAGCAGGTTTACACTGCTCATAATAACTTTCCTTTCCAGGTCTTCCAGCCCCAAAAGACTCCTACCAAACCACACAGCTGTGATGGGAATGCAGCTAGCCAGTGTGAGAATGGGACTACTCCAGCAACCTCCTCCATACCTGAAAGTACATTTCCACCAGCTCGTCTTCCTGCATGAGATAGTAGAGCCTTCCTGCCTGCAGCCAGGCCTCTGCTGCTTTCACAGTCTCCTCAAGGTCAATGAAGATCCTTAGACTCTGTTTGGTGCAGTCCAGGGACTGTCTCAAAGACCTGTGACGGTAACAGGCAAAAAGCCACTACAGAGAAATCACAGGACACCCCCAGCAATCAGCTGCCAAGCTACCACACCACCTCCCCATCGGCAATCCTCTCTTCTCCTCCTACAGTTGCCACAGATTAGAGATAAATGGACAGCCACAGCTCCAAGCAATGTGTCCTGGCAAAACTGTGGAAGTCTCCATGCTTTAGTGCATGTGTGTGTATCATCTGGCAACTTTCGACCAGCCTGGGACCCCAGTGCCCAGCAGAGTCCCAAGGCAGCCCGCTCCCAAAAGGGCTGCTCCCCACCCCTGTTCATTTCAGCTGACAAAGAGGGTTTTGTCCAGGTCATCTGCAAACCTTATTTGCTCTCCTACACTTAGCCCCAAAGTCACTCCCAGCTACACACGGGAGCATAGGCAGGGAGTACTTGCACCTTTGTTTTCCAGACAGCATCTGGCATCCAAAACCTCATCTCTGCCTATTGTTTGTCCCTCGGTGCAGGCGAAGAGGCAGATCTGTGGCCACATGAGCAAGACCTTACAGCTCCTCTCCAAGCCCCTGGTCACTAGAGGACAAAGGGACAAGCAGCAGGACAAGCCAGAGGGTCGGACACACTGCCTGCAGAAGGCAGCTGTGGCCATGTTTGTTTGCCGAGTGTCTCGCCTGCTGGCAACGAGGCTCCAGCTGTCCTTTGAGTCCAGGGAATGGGGTGCTTTGTGATCTTAAATAGCACTGTTCACATGACAGGCGTCTGCTTCCTAAATTCCTTCCCTCTGAACTCACTGTGACCTAGCACGGGAAGGTTAACATCCAAGTTAATGACGGCCCCTGCCCATTTGTCCTTCTGCGACATGGCAGCTAGCTCTCCACTATTTGACACGTCTGCCTTCAAAGATGAAGAAAGTCTGTGGTCTGTCCAAGTCTCTTTCTCTCCCCTTGTGCATAATCTAATCAGTCACCTGCATGTGGCAAGCGGGAGATTGAAAGGTGAGCTGATACGGGGTCTTAAGTACCTCCCTGGGGAAAATACTCCAGCAGAGATAGGAAGGGCAGACTCAGCAGCTCGAAGCTGAAGCCAGACTTATTCAAATAACAGATAAGGAACCTATTTTTAATGGTGAATGGTGATTAATCACTGGAATAAGCCTCCAGAGGAAATGATGAATTCCCTGTCACTGGGTCCCCTCTGATCAAGGCTGGATGTCTCTCTGGAAAACTGTGTTTGGCCAGACCCCAGTTCTGTCCCAGCTAACAGCCCGGCATTTGCCCGGCAGACGCGGTGCTCCGGTTGACATTGAACTGTTCCCCTCTTCACCGCGCAGCGGCAGCTCGCAAACCTCAGCCGCTCACTAACCCGAGGCTGCTGGCGGGGCAGCTGGAGCTACCACACACCTTCCCCACACCCCCCGAGGGACACCCCAGGAAAGCCACTGCTCTTGCTTTGGGTGAGCAGGGACCCCACTGACAGCATCTGCACACAGGCAGGACTTACTCAGCTGTGCCCAAGGCCTGGTAGAGCCGGCTGAGGGTCTGACGGACATTGCCCTCCATCCCTCTGTCCTGGAGCTGTTGTGCCAAAGACACCCAGTGCTCATGGTAGGTAATGCAGGCCTGGAGATTGGGGGACACTTTGCTGTAGAAATGGCAGAGAGACTCAGTGACGTGAAGCTGACCTGCATGGTACAGGGAAGGGAAAAGGACAGGTCAGGGGGCTGCGTTAGGGACCTGGCAGGGGTGCTGCACAGACGTGAACGCTGCCCTGGCTCCCGCCAGCAAAGCTGTACTCACTCCTCACGTTATGCCATTTCAGGGCAAGAACCAACGCCAGTTCATAACAGAGTGTGCCATCTTCCACCCTCTGCTTGTTCACCATGGCCTGCGCTAGCCACAGCAGCACCCGCACCAACTCCATCTCCAGGTCTTCGCTCTCCTGGAGCTCAGCGTAGAGCTGAACCGACTGGAGCAGGTAGAGCTCAGACAGCTGGCTCGCCCCGTGCGAGAGGATCAGCTGCCCCAGGTTAGCCAGGGCAATAGCCTGGTTCCTCTTGTTCCCGGTCTCCTTGGCTTTGTGCAGGGCCCGGAGGTAGTTCTCTGCAGCCTTTTGCACCTGCCCTTCTCCTTTGAGGGCGATGGCCAGGAGATTGTGCACAGCTCCACCCTGGGTCACGCTGTCCGTCCCATGCAGAGAGCGCAAGAGCTGCCACATGATGTCTGCAGCTGGGCCCGGCTGGCTGTTCAGGAGATGCATCCACCCCAAAGCGAGGGAAGACTCAAAAGCCTCCTCCTCACCCATCAGTCTGCTGAGGGTTACAGCTGTGGCTGCGTAACAAACCGCCCTGTCCAACACGCCATGCTGCAGGTACATCCTGGACAAGATGGCACACAGCGTCCTCTGGATGGGCACAGCTCTGACCTCGCAGGAGAAATGCAATGCTTGCTTGAGATAGAAACAAGCCAGTGCTGGGATGCTGCTCCTCTCCAGCTGGCTTCCCAGAAGTTTGGAAGTATTTTGGAGGATGAAGCCAGCTCTCCAAATGGGTGTCGGTGCCCCCTTGATGCCACTGGGAACAAACAACCTAGCAGAGGCCACCGCGATATTTGGCAAATACTTCTTGTCATACAGATAGCTCAAGATGGGGGTGGCATCCAGTGGCAGAGAACTAGTGTCCGGGCTGAGTAAAGTGGTGGTGAGACATTGAAGGTGCTCGGTAAAGGGCAGCACTTCATCATTTTTGCCTAGTTGTAGGAAGAGCTTGACAATAAGGAAGGAGATCCGTGCTTCCAAAGGAGCGTTACCCACAGCAATGGCTTCCCTCAGGACGTACATCATGACTTCCAGCTCATTCTCAGAGCTGAAAGAGCGGCCAGGCAAGCAGACAAGCAAGGCCACCGTTTTTCCCAGCAGGGAGGAGAACTTCTGCTTCATGTTCTGTTTCAAGTAGATGGAGGCAAGGTTCACATGCAATGCAGCCAGCAGGGTCAGGTCCCCAAAACCCCTGTCCAGGATGCTCATGGCTTCCTCAAAGTAGACTCGAGCTTGGGAGAACTTGACCTTTTTGATGCAGAGCTTACCCAAGAGGAAACAGAGCCTGACATGAGCCCACACTGAATGAGTCCGCTTGGCCCAGTTCCTGGACGTCTCAAGGTACATGACCAGTTCATCCTCATCAGAGAAACCATAAAAAGTGGAGTTGAGAAAGGAAAAACTGAGATCATAGAGGCTTTGAAAACTGGGCACATAATTGTCTTGGTTAAGGAAGGTCAATATGGGTTCAAAGACATCAGCATCTTCCATGTGTCCAGCGTTCAGGTCAATAAAGAACTTGGGATCATCAAAGTCATCCAGATTCTCCAGGAGAACATCTTGCAGCGTACCAGGGGCTGATTCACTCCCTGGGCTAGACAGTTCGGAGGTGCTAGTCGTAGCCAAGCCATTTATTTCCTCCCAAGACTGGAGCAGCTGGGTATCTTTACAGCCACAGGGAACAGCCTCTGGAAGGGACAGGCAAACCATAGTGGGATGTTTCCCCATGTCAAAATTCACCCTCAGAAGTCATCATAAAAGCATCCCATTCTGTCCCCTCCACATACTTACCTGATGGCACTTTCGGGAACATGGCTGTAGGTTCAAAACCATCTACACAAAGAAACAATCAGAAAACAAAAAGCCCAAAGCCTTGGTCAGTGTTAATGTGCAGACACAGTACTCAACCCTTATAGAGACCTTCCACTGCTCTGCTAAACCCCAGACCGGTATGTGGGAGAGCAGGTTCACTTCTGTCCGCAGACACCACGGCCAGCTGGAATTTTCAACCCTGCCTGTCTGCTCAGGCTTGGCTGGATACAAGACCATGGAGTTGGTGGTGGGGTAAGCACCAGTGACATTATAGTTACCTGGGATCAAGCAGGTCTTATTTTTCATGGGTAGAGTTTTATCAGCTCTGTCTTTCTTAAGAGCCTTGCTGTGCCTATTCAGAGGTTTCAGATATATGTGTGTCTCTGACAGGCTCTACCCCAGGCTCACTGCACCTGAGCTGGCTGGTCTGGGAGGTCCCCTGAACCCCAGGGGATCCCAGGCTCAGCCCTGTGTGGCCACATTGTGCTTCGAGGTAGTGAGAAGGCAAGAAACAGAGACAGAGAAATTAGCTATGGCCAAAAGCCAGACAGCCAGCATAGAGAAACTGAGAAGAGAACCCAGGAACCCTGACCTCCTGGCTCCTGCTGTGGGCATGGAGACAATGACACCTGCCACTTTAGCTGTTCATCCCCCTCAATATACACCCAAAGTCAGACAGCAGCAGGGGACCTGCTGTAGGCAGGGACCTACAGCCAGGATCAGTCGAGAGCAGCATCTGCCAGAGTCAACCACAGCTGAGGAGCTGCCCTGGAAGCAGAGAAGACCCCTGCAAACTGCAGTGTGGCAAGGCCCAGCTCTTGAGGGTATCTACAACCTTTCGTGACCAGGCTGGGCAGAGGGCTTGGAGGCTGTCTCAACCACAGCAGTTGTCTCCCCTGTAAAGTCTTGAGCAAGGAGCTCTCTAGACACTGCCCGGCATTGCTCTCCATGGGGATCCATGGGGCTGGGCACATAAGAGGAGGGGAAACTCACCCAACCGGTACACAGAGGTGATGTCAGTGCGTGCCAGGTCACCGAGGAGGGAGGTGAAGTGCTGCTCGCCACCATTGCAGGGGATGCGCAAAAGCGCGGGTTTTTCTTCTTCACTCAGAAACACCAAGCCCTTTTCCCTAGGTTGAGGGCAGACATCAGGGGAAAACAGTCAGTGTCTCCCCATCCCCTGACACTACAGATGTCCTGTGGGATGGAGGTGGGCTTTCCCATCCCTCCTCTTCCTCCCACCAGAAAAGCTCTGCTGCAGATGGATACCAGTCTGGACATATTCCCCATTAGAGCTCTCAGATCCAGCTTCTCCATGGGGGAACTGATGGGTGCCAGAGGAAGGGATCTATCAGTCTTTTTTTCCTCTAGAAGCCCTTTCTGAGGCCAGAGCATCATCTGATCTCCTATCTGTTCTCTGTAGTGTCAGAGAAAATTGGCTAAGATTTACCTTGAGTGAGCCTGACGCAGGAAAACTCAATAGACCTAGCAACAGATTGAGACCTCATACCTTCCCCTCCCCTGCCCCTCCTTCCCCCCCAGACCCTTGGAGGAGAAGCTTTTTTGGACTTTATTGAACTAGAGCTATGTCTTTAAGCCACCAACAAAGACAACTGCCTGGGTCATCAGAATGGGGTTCCATCACCCTCCCCCCTGGATAACTCCTGTCTGTGTCCTTGGGAGGGTGTTTAATTCTGCTCAGCGAGGAACTGTGCCAGTGGTCATTCTGCCTCGACATCCCGCAGAAAGCAAAGGGGCAGAAGGAAGCAAAGCAGGACTTGGTTTCTTGGCAGTGATCACTCTCCCCACCCTTGCCAGACTCACAGCCCCTCAGACAAAGCTACAAAGACAAGAACATTTCTAGGTGAAGCTGTGAAGCCAGCTTGTCTGGTACACATATGTCCTGGGCTGCCTTAACATAAAGCCAGGTCTAGCCCAGGGACAGATCTGTTCCTCTCCAAGAATCACCTGAGGCCAATGAAATATGAATGCTTTGTCTGTGCAGAGACTCCCGCAGCCTGTTGGCAGCAGAGCCTGGCCAAGTCTTCTGGACAGACCTCAAAAGTATCCTCTATGAAGGCCTTGCAAAGCAAATTACCTTCCCTGGACTCTTACATAGCCTTGAGTTTGGACCTGGAGTCTTTTCTTCACTTTCTCCTGAGTTTAAATTAATCTAGACAGTAGCAGTAAACTTACAGAGGTTTGCAAGCCTCGGGATTTATGTATTGGGTTGGGACAAAGCCGATGCTCCCACTGCTGAGGGATTTGCCCACAAACCACGGTAGTCCTGGAATGAGGAAGCCGATGACTTCTATGCTGTCTCCTTTGGAGAAACTCAGTTCATCCCACGCTGCTCCTCTGCGATCCTCTGTGGCTGTGCATCTGCCTTTGACTGGGAAACCAAGGCAAACAAGGGCATTTAGTGTGAGGCCACTGTTAAAACTTCCCCACTGGAAAAGACTTGGGCAAGGAGAGACCACGATTTCAGCTTGAGAAAGCTTACCTCTCTGTCCCCTAGGATTTACTGTGCTCTCAGACTCAGATCACTGCTGTTTCCTTGTGACAAGAGGTTTATAATAAAATATACAAGAGGCATGGATAAATGCCACACAGCCAAAGACTGAAACCTCTGAGAGCTGCAGTATGGAAGGTGGCTGGAAACAAGGAGCTTCACAGAAGCTGCACTGTCTCAACTCTGCCAGGAGTGAAAGCTTTAACAGTGCAAAAGTCCATTACACTACATGCAAAATGCACACCTGCAGTGACCTCCCATGTCCAGCATGCTCTGGACAGTGCCCATGTCCAGGCAGGAATGGCCTGGGGCTAATGGGTAGACGATGGGCACAGGTGTCATGTGCACACTGGTGGGAGGCTAATTATTTAAAACTTCAGACCCGAAAGAATTAAAGGAGAGGTACAATTGCATAGCATAGAAAAACCCAGTGGCAGAAGGATGCCATCAGCAGCCCTCTGTACTCTGTGTTCTTCAGATCGCCCTTCTAAGTACATGCAATTTGCACGCTCTGTTCTCCATTCAAGAGAGTCCAAAGGTGCACTATTCCCTTAGAGCACCTTGCAATGGACTGTCATCGTCAGAACAAGAGATGGGCCCTTTGCATTTGTGGCCAAACCCAGGTTTGCTCTTGCAAAGGGCAAGGGCAGCTGCATTGGCCAGGTATCACTCACCAATTGGCTGAGCGGTGGTCCCACTGATCTCCTGGGAGATGCCCAAACTCACAGCATAATTCTTCAGGAACCACCTGCAAGGCAAAGGGGAACCACACTGGTGCTCCCTGAGCAGTCCTGTCCTCAGGCCACCTCCAGGGATAGTCTCACACAAGCAGGACAGATGTTCTGTCCTGTGGGAGTGCTGGAGCTGCTACGGAGCATGGCCAGCGTGGCCAGTCCAGTAATTCCTTGTAATGGTGTTACTGGGCATGGATGGCAGTTTGCACCTCACAACTGCAGCCGCACACCACATGGTAAGAACAGGGTAATTTTGCCAGCCGGTAAGGAGGATTTCACTGTGTGACTACAGGAGGAGCTGTGGGTGTCTTTGAGGCTCAGCCCAGTGTCCAGCATGAGGCCTCACTTTGGCTGGCATTATCTAAGTCTTGGGGTCTGCTTTTTCTCCCAGTTACTCACCTGTAAATCACAAATAATCTCATGTATGTCCTAAATCAATACCATACAAGAATGATATCTGAAGTATGTCCCTGCTCTGTCCCATTAACAGGACCTGAATTGGTTCCAGTGGTTGTCTTTATGCATAATGTATATCCTCACAAAATTATGTAGCTCTTGCACATTGCCAGAGGCAAGAGCAATATCTCACCCCAGGCTCGGTGCTGGCTCATGCATCAGGATCAGGAAAGAATCTTGGCTTGAACACTATTAACTGGCCAGACTACTTACTGGTAAAATGGGTGAGGTATTGGCTCTAGAGCTGTCACAGGCACCAGGCCTCGCTGACCCGTCAGTAAGGACATCCCTTCCCACTTGGACTCCTCTCCAACGTTCTTCACATGGATCAGCTCGTTTGTGCAGAGCTGCAGGCCTTCCTCTCCCTCCCGCTCCAGCTGCCAGACACCGGGCACTGCTCTGGAAAAAAAGTTACCTGCAAAGAGAGTCATGCCCAGGTCAATAACATCAGTGCAAGACATAGCCCAGCGCAGGGCTACAACACAGCCCTGCTGCGACGCTTTAGAGGAACTCCGTACATATGCAGCCCCTTCTCACCTTCCTGGAGTAGCAGACCCATATACATGGTGGCCAAACGATCTTCATCCACAGTAACTCTGATCTCTGTGTCCTCCATCAGAGCACAGTTTAGCCAGTACTCCTGGTCAAAGAGAAGCTGCTCCAAGCAGCTGCCCACATATCCTAAGAAACCAAGAGGGAAAGCAGTGTTAGCACCCTCCTTCACTGGGCAGGATGAAGTGCTCTTCGGATGTCTCCTAGTCTGCCATCTGCAACCATGCTGTGACACAACAGCCTCTAATTCTCTCTCCATCCCCAAAATGCAACAGAGGCATTACCAAAAATGCATCCTCCTAGGTCTCTTTTACTGGTCCAGACAGTGGTTTCATAAATCTGAAACCATCTGTAGATGGACACCAAGGTTTTCTAATTCATATTCTTTTCCTGTCCACCCTGTTACATTACTGTTTTTTTGCTGTCAAAGAATACCTTCTGCAAAAATGCTTCTCACACTGTCTGTTTAGATCTCCCACACCTTGAAAACATTACCTAAGGCCAGATACGTGGAAAACTTCCAGACTTCTTCCAGGGTTTTGAAGGTGAGGAGGAACCGATCCTCCTGTGCTTGCACACAGACCAGCCTGGCTGACAGCTCCTACACATGGAAGACAAACACTATTTTGTCACTAAGACAAAGATCAAGGGACAGTCCTGGGACTCTGACAGGGGGTCTCCTTTGTCAGTGTGGGAATAATATTAGACCCTGGAATGAGACCAGACGCTCATTTATTAGCATAGTTGAGACCGAAAACTGTGCAAGTTGGTTGCCTGGGATCAAGGGGAGGATGATCCAGCCAGCTGAGTCCTTCAGCCAGGAGGGATGGAGCACCCACAGTGACAACTCCCCGTGGCACAGCAGTGAGAGGGTGAAGAAACCCCATCTCCTCCTCCAAATCTTTTCCCCCATGGCACACCCCAGAACCACTGTGCTTTTGAAGCCCAGACACCTGAACCATACCATGGGAGGGTTAATGTTCAGTCAGGGCAGGCACAGCTTCCAAACTGCAGCTCTGAAGCTGAAAGCGGTAACTGTGCCTTGAGGCTGCAGCTCTTTCCACTATTGCTGGCACTAGTATGTCTGCACTGTTCCAGGTCTTCTGGGAAGCTCTGTAGGGAGCCCTGAGGGCCCTCGGAAACCAGGAGGGAAGGCAAGTTGAGTCCAGGAAATGTCTCTATACCTGTAGTGATTTTTCTATACGAAGCCAAATACTCTGAGAACCCCTGGGTATGTCCAGAAATGCCACATCCACTGGGCACTCGAGTCTGGCACACAGCTTTGGTGATCCGAGGCCTGTGAAATGCTGGCTATTTAGACTCACCCCAGGGCTATCTGCATGATCCCTCAAGCAGCTCAGAGCCTCCAATATGAGGCTCCTGACATGAGGGTCAGCTTTGCATCTGCCTCTAACCTGTTACCAGTTCAATTCCCCCATCATTCCCGTCCCCTACAGAGACCCCGTGTGCAGGAACACACACTGCAGCAGCCTTGGAGGAACTTCTCTTTCTCGGCTGGGTTTGGTGTCCCGTCACGCATCCCATCGTGCCAGGAGCCTCCCTGCACATTCTCTGCCCTGCTGGGCTGCGGCTCCTACCTTGAACAGGGCACAGACGTCTCTGTCATCGCTCTCCAGGGCCCACAGCTTCTTTCTGGCTGCTTCCTGGAGCTGGGAATTGGGGCACTGGGAGGAGCGGCTCGCAATGGAGAAGAAGAGCGAAATCTCTTGAAACAGAAACGTGCAGGGTTAAGGGGGAGAAGGAGCTCCAAGCCACACCGAGCTGCCTCTGCCACACTGCGTCCCTGCAGCCAGCCCCCCGGTGCCGCCAGCCCCCCGGTGCCGCCAGCCCCCGCCTGCCTGCGACGCTCAAACACCACAAACCCACCCAGACGAGACACTCACGGGGTGGCGGGGGTGCAGTTAGCTGCGGTGCCAGGCCTTGCTACCTTTAACCACTGGAAACCTGGGTGATGCCAAAGGCAGGATCTTACCTTGTGGAAAGCCCTCCCCGACAGTGAGCAGCACCGAGGAGGGGTCTGGCAAGCCTTCTGCTGCCTCGATAGCGGGGTCGCTTGGCTCCAATGCCGCAGCCTTACCTAGCAAGGAGCAGGGACACAGAAGAGTTGCTGTCAAGTTTTGTGGCAGAGGTCTACGATATTCTGCCTAACCGTGCCACCTGAAAGTAAAGCCCATGGGTTGCACTGCAGATCCGGCTGGGGATTGTGTGAATCTGGCATCACTCTAAAATCATGCTCAAGGGTGGAGGCATGACCCTTGGGGTTGATGTGTCCTAACCACGTGATACCCTTGATGACCGACTTCTTTCCGGTGCTGGAGTGGTTTTGAAGTGAGGGGACTTTCCCTGCTTGCTCTTTGGGACAGACCCTCCCTGGGCAGATCTAGCAGAAGGATGACCCCATGACACTGAGAATTTTTTGGAGGACATCTCAGAGAGAGTGCAGAGAGCTGAGGGCTTGCAAAACTCTTTGCTCAACAATTCTACAGTCAAAATGAGATTTCCTCCCCTGCCTGCCCTGGTTGGTATCTGAAATCCAAGCTGCATTCTGCCTGCTTCACACATCATCAACTATTGCCATAAAGGATTTGGGAACTGAAACTTCAGCTGGTAATTATGTTAATGAAGGCTGAGGCACATAAAAAACCAGCTTGCCTTTCCACAGCTGTATTGGCTGTGGAGGGATAACAAGATTACAAACCAATTTTTGTCAGTAATCAGATTGGACTTGTAAGACAAACATGTACCTGGAGATCTGGAGCTGGAACGTGCAGCGGCTTTTGTAAGTCACTTCTGTGACCGTAACTATACTCTACAGTTCTTTTTATTGAGCCAGCTTTGCTAGTCAGTCAAATAAACTGTTACTTGCACACAGAATTATAATCCTCATTTATAGCTAGCAGTAGAAAAGAATGGCCCAAGGCTGGACATGTAATGAATGAGCTTTTCTTTGAAAGAAAAGGCTCTACATTTCTCAACAGCTGATTCGAAGACACTTAACAAGGGACTTCATCCGGCAACTCTGTCCCCTTCCACGCGCGGGGGAAACAGAGATGGAGAAGCAAAACGAGCCAGAGGCAGCACTAAACCCGAGCTGGCTCCTGCCTGGGCTGGGCTTGCCTGACAGTTGCTTCCCTCCTCCCTCCCTGCCTCTTCTCCCTGCATCCCAGCAGGGCCCGGTGGGCAGGGCTGGGTCCCCCTTCCACGGGGATGGGTACCTGATGCCATGGTCTTCTGTCGCCACCATTTTCCCCGGTGCTCGGCTGCGGTGCGCTGCAGGCGGTCCCAGCGGGGCAGGAGCACGGGCGAGCGGGGGCAGCAGGCGTCACAGGTTCCACCTG